GTTTGGTACCTTTGTGTGTGTCATGGTATGGGTGGCTTATGATATGTATGTGTGGTATGTATATGTGTGGTGTATGGTGCAGATGTGGTATGTGTCATATTGTATGTGTGCATGGTATGTACATTGTATGTATGTTTGGTGTGGTGTGTTGCATGTACGGTGTACAGTATGTGTGTGTGTCATATTATATGTGGTATATGGCATGTGTGAGGTATACATGTTATGTGGTATATGTAGTTTGTGTATATGGTGGTGTGTATAAATGGTATGATGTGGTATATGGGTTATATGTATGATACACACATAGGGCATATGTGGGATACGTGCATGATTGTATGTATATGTATATGTGAAGTGTGTTGCATGTACTGTATGTATATGATTGTGTGTGTATATATCATGTGGCGTATACTGCATGTGTGTGATATTTGGTGTGTGATGGGAGATGTTTTTTCTACCCCTCTTTCTTCCTCATCTGCTTTCCCCACAACCCCTCAGGACAGAAAGGAAAGGTTTTCTTCATTTTCATTGTATTCCCTGTTGGATTAGTCATTATTCCTTTTGCTGTGACTAAATGCCTTGGCAAAAGCAACTTAAGGAAGAAGGGACTTATTTTGGATCCCAGTCTATCACAGTGGCAGCTGGTCACTCTCTGTTTGCAATCAGGAAGCGGGAAGTGATGAATGCTGGTGCTCAGCTCACTGTTTCCCACAGCAGGGAATGGTACCACCTATAATTGATCATCTTCCTACCTCAGTTAACCTATTAAGATAATCCTCCACAGGCATACCCAGAGGCGTGTCTCCCAAGTGATGTAGATCTCATGAAGGTGACAGATAAGATGAACCAACTCAACATCTTCCATAGAGACAGCTTCCTGACTGTGCTGTAAAACCTGCTTCTTGATACATTAAAGGGAGAGGGAAAGGAGTTTTAAAAAGGATCACCTGTATTTATGGAATAATGACTGTGTTCTGGACACTTCCTACCTCTTTCTAAGTGTTGCAGCACTGGCATCTAGAAGGAATTAAACACACATTTGCTGAATACATACTTTATGTGGATTAGCCTGTTAAATTCTGCTAACAACACTCTGGGGTAGGTGCTCTTATTATTCCCATTTTACAGACAAGGAGACTAAGTCTCAGAGAAACTCAGTAACTTGCATAAGGTCACACACTGGTAAATATCTGGATTGGGCCTAGATATTATGCCTCTGAGTCTGTCATTTTAGCCAATTTGCTATTCTTCCTCTCTCAGGATAATAGCCTCGACCCAAAGATTAGTGCCTTGCTGAGAAATCTCATTTTAAATGTCAATAGCAGAATATTAGCTTCTTATTTCCTTTTGCATTATTCTGTAACAATTTAATCTTTCCCCAGACAGATGGATACTTGGGACCAAACATGGGAAAAAGGGCAGATCCTCTAGGAGGCAAAGAGAAAAGCACATTAATAATTTTTCCAAACATTGCCTTCATCAAAATAATAATGGTAACCCAAAATAATTACACATGCTCTAGTGTGTTTTATATTGCTGTGATAGAACACTTCGACCAAAACCAACTTGGGAAAAAAAGGGTGTATTGCATCTTACCAAGTGATAGTCCATCACTGAGGGAAGTCAGGGCAGTAATTCAAGGCAGGAACCTGGAGGCAGGAGTTGAGGCAGAAACCGTGCTTACTGGCTTGCTCCTCTCTGTCTTGCTCAGCTATTTCTTTTATACATCCCAGGCCCACCAGCCTAGGGTTGGCACCGCCCACAGTGGGCTGGGCCCTTCTGCATCAACCAGCAACCAAGAAAATGCCCCATAGACATGTCCACAGGTCAATCTGATGGAAATCATTCCTCAGTTGAGGTTCCCTCTTCCCATGTATGTCAGATTGACAACTGAAGTTAACCGGGACAACATAGAAACATCAAAATTGGAATGTGACAGGGCCAATACATATGATGCTCAAATTAAGTTCTGTTTCTTTTTCTTCCTTTCTTTTTTAATAGTGCTTGAACCCAGGGTCCCACACATGCTAAATAAGCACTCTACCACAGAGCCACAACCCAGCCTCCTCACTGTTTCGGGAAAGGAGTCAAGTAACTTGCTACTAAGATTTTCTCAGCCGAGTTTAGATGGCTGGGTGGTTAAAAGCACAGTACTGCTCTTCCAGAAGACACGAGTTAAGTTCCCGGCACCCATATCAGACAGCTCACAACTGCCTGTAACTCCAGATCCAGGGGATCTGACATCTTATTCTGGCCTCTGTGGATACTGCAATCAAGTGCACAAAGCCATGCCCAGACACGCACATATACACATAATTAGAAATAAAATCTTTTTCAAAACAGAACTTTTCAACAGGCTATTCTGATACCCTAAGAGGTGCTCCAGAGAATGTCTAGAACTGCTGATGGTCCACTGATCACTGAGAAACTTTCTACTTTCTGGTCACATATAGTCACTCAAGTTACTCTTTTCTTTTTTCTTTTTCAGACAGTGAGTTCCCAGCCGGCCTGGAACTCACTATAAGGACCAGGGTGGCCTCAGTCTCACAGAGATCTACCTGCCTCTGTCTCCTGAGTGCTGGGATTAAAGGCACTCAGACCCACCCACAGGTCATCACTCAAGTTTCTTACCTCAGGGAGAAGATATGCTGGGCAGGTAGACATTAGTTTCTGTCCTATTTGACAGCTATGTTTTTTTTTTTTTTTTTTTTTTTTTGTGATAACTAAACAGACTGGCATCCTCTGGCTTTAGTAACAGGAGCTGTCCCTGAGACAGACACCTTATTGGTTCAGAAAAGGTTAAGTGCTGAGCTAATAAAGCTGAGGAGAATGGTGAATTGGGACAAACGCCCTCTGATGGGGTACACCTGGGCAACCAGGCATCCTCGGGGTCAGCTTCCCTTTCCCTGAATGAGTTCCCTAGTCAGAAGAGCTTGGGATGAAGCCTTCAGCATGAGGGTCTGATTGGTGAGTGGGAGCTAGACAGCACAGAGAAAACTCATTCTATGATACACACCACCAAGAGGGCTGCTTGGTTGTGTGCGATGTGTATTTGAGTATTATTTGCATCCCAGAACTGTATCTAGAAGAAGCAGAAGGAGAACAGAGTTATTTATATTACCATATAGTAACTGATTGCAGTGCTGGAACTCTGAAAAGGATTATTTTTTAAAAGATGCTTTAATTTTATCCAAAGGTGGTGTTAATACCTTTGAATTATTGTCTTTAATATCTAGATGATCTCCTGACTCTAGGGCCAGGGATTAGCTGGCTTCTGCTTTCTCTTTTTTCATTTTCTCCTTATCTGCCCCTCTTCCTGGCTGGCATTTTGCTTCTTTTAGAGGATGGGAGTTATATGTATGTGGGGAATGGTAAGTGTCCTGGCAGTTCTTATTAGACTGGGAGGTTTTGCGTTTTTTGGGGCCTGCAAATGGTCCACGCTTGCTCGTTTGTATACTCATTGTATATGTACTGCTCTTCTGTAGCCTCTAAGAAAAAGAGACCTCCATGTTTAGATGGAGTTTCAACATCTCTAGGCACCCAGAACCCAAGACAATCCGCAGAATTAATGTTGCTGTTTAAAGGACTTGTGGGAGAAGATCCTCTCACTAGTCTGCTCTTCTGCCATGTGGGAAATAGCCTTCCTTCCTCCAAAGGATGCAGCATTTAAAGAGCCATGTTGGAAATGGAGACAATGCTCACCTGACACCAAAACCTGCCAGTGCTTTGATTTTGGGCTTCCCAGCTTCTGCCATTTTGAGACAGAAATTTCTGATATATATATATATATATATATATATA